TGATCCCCTGTTTTGTCAAAAAAAACGTGTTTTCTGGACACATTTCCACACGGGCAGTGTTGTTTTACACGGGCACCCGTGTTAAACCTCCTGTGTTGGTTTTTAAACTATGTTTTCCGTGCATGTTGTTAAGTACGGATTGATCCGGTTTTGATGTGCAGTGTTTGACATGTTTTGAATATGTGTTTATTGAATTCCTAGTGTTGATTGATGTGTGTATCGAATAACGATTGTATGTTATGATACCAACACTATGTGGATCTTATTGTCATGCTTTTAGATGATGTTATCAAGCATGAATTATGATATAACTTGATATGATTGATGTTTAATAGTATGCTGAGTGGTTACATGCTATTCCTATCATGTTATGTTTGATATTGTTGATGTGCATGATATGTTGATTGATGTTCATAGTATGCTGAGTGTTACATACTTACATATCATGTTGCATTTGTTAATTCCCATTGTGTGGAATTAACATGGTGGCCAATATACGTGTCCGCGATCTAATGGAACGTTGAGGTGGTAGCCGTGTCCGCGATATAATGGAACGGTGAGTTATCCGTGACCCGCGATTTAATGGGGCGGTGAAGTGGTACCACATGCATGGGTGTGTTGTATTACTCGAATATAACATGAATGGATGATTTTTCCAATGTTATATTTGATTGTTTGTATGCACGTATGATTGATAAATGGTTGATGATGTTTGATGAATATTTGCAAATATGAAAGGCAATATGTCATGGATATATGAATTGTAAAGGTTTTGTAAACTATGAAATATGCTAATTATTGGGTGATGCTTATGATTTCGTGAATTGATTGTTATGAATGTATAACCAAATGTATATTTGAGAAGCTCACCCTTACTGTTGAATATTTCAGATTGAGGAGCTTCGCTCAGGTGCTTGGCGAAGGCTTATCGTGTCTAGTTTAGTTTCGTTTTAGTATGTCCGGGTCATGCTCTGATAGTTGTAACTCCGGGAACGTTTGGTTGTCGAGCTGCTTTAGTCAGACTCGTTTATTTTCTTTTAATTATTATAATATGACGTTGACTTTTCCAGGTGTTAATCCCTGATGATTTTGGAAAATATTATAACATTTGATTTTATTAAATAAATTATTCCGCTGTGTAGACATGTATGAGTTACCACTAAAATTATGCATGACAGGAATTTATTTTATTAAAAGAGAATTGTAGCATTCCTCGATTATTACATGTACTCTGAGTTTATAGTTTTTAATATTTGCGAAAATTATATGCGGGGTTTTAGAGGGTGTTACACTCATCCTTCCAGCAGACACAGGTGCCATCCTTCCAGCAGACACAGGTGCCATCCTTCCAGCAGACACAGGTTCCCTCATCCTTCCAGCATAGTTTTCCATTTCCCACACAGATGCCCTCATTCGTGCAGCAGCCTGGAGGATCCAGCACCCCACTTCCTACCCAGATGCCCCCATCCGTCCAGCAGCCTGGAGGATCCACCTCTTCACGATCCACACAGACTGGTCGCACCCCCACATCCCACACAGAGTCGGACGATGACGATCTTGGTGGGGATGATGATCAGATAGATGGGAGAGATCTTCGAGGGGATGATGATCCGAGTGAGATTCATACCATTGATGGGAGATTTTGGATATGGCCTGAAGGGAACTCGTAAGTTTCTTATTTATTGATTTTTATTTATAAGTACACATTTCCATTTTTAATATAACTTTATATAATTAATTATGCTAATTCAATTATTGTTGTTTTAGTTTCGGGCCGAGTCGGACTGCTGCTAAGGTTATCAATTATATAATTCAGCAGAATTATACAACATTTTTGAAGAGTTTTAGAGAAGTTTCCGATAAAGAAGAATGGTTCAAGCAATTTCAGGTATAATTAATTTATTTCTTAAGTTATTTTAATTTAAATGACCTTTTCATTATTGTTATAATTTATCTAACTATTTATTTTAATGTCATACAATATTGCAGGCAAAATGTGTTTGGGATCCCCTGAACCATAACAAAGTAAAAAAAAATTATTTTGGGAGGAGTTCAAGAAGACTTTCTGACATGCTACGACGTGTTAGAGAGAATTGGCACCTTTTGGGCATTCATCCCAAATGGATAAGCAAAGAAGTTTTTGAACAACTTCTTAAGTATTGGGAATCAGATGAATTTAAGGCTAAATCTGAAACTGCAAAGAAGATGAGGACATCGGAAAAAGGGGGTTGCATTAATGCTGTTGGAAGCATTAGTACTGCTGAGCATGCTCGACGCATGGTAATTATTACCACTTTTTAAGGTCATATTTGGATTTATAACATATTATTAATTTAAGTTAATTTTTATATTTAGGCTAAGCGTTTGGGGAGACAACCATTGATGACTGAGCTGGTTAAGGAGACTCGGACAAAGAAATCAGAAGGATTTATTGACGAGCGCACAAAAAAAGCCCTGGTAATTAAGTAAATTTATGTTTATATATATATATTTTTTAAGCAATTTTGTGACGTGATTTTCATGTAGCAAATGACATGTTGTGGCGTGAAAATTGAGTGGCAACTGATAAGTTGTGGCGTTACAATCACGTGGCTATTTATTTTTTATTATTATTTTTATTTCATTTAATTTCATTAATGTTACTTATAAATTAAACTTGATTTTTTTATTGTATGTGTAGGAGGATTATCAGGCGTTGCTTGTAGAATTTCTGACCCATAATCCTCAGTATACGCCTCCTCCAGAAAAACCGGTTCAGCCAGATGTGGATTTCTATATTTGGAGTCAAGTTGTTGGGGGAAAGGGGCCTAACGGGTGTTTTTTTGGTGGTGGAAATTTGGCGGGCACCTTGAGGAGTGGGGATAGAAATCTGTATCAGAGAGCTGCAGACGGTGAAGGAGGGTCACGTCAAACAAATTTGACACCGGATCAGTTAGAACTGGTAAGACAATTGGCTAGACGCGAGTCCGAAGATCGTGAGGCGGCATTGAAGGCCCAAATAGATGCCCAAATGGATGGCCGAATGGAGGCAATGAGGGGTGAACATAATAGACAAATTGAGGCAATGGCGAAGAGGCAAGCTGATATGGAGGAGCAAATGCGACAATTTATGCAAGCATTTGGTAGAAATCCCAACAGTGATGGCCAAAATAATAACCACCAAAATAATGATGACTTTCTTCCCGATATTTCCGACGACGACTCTGCTTAGTTTTATTTTTATTTTGTATTTAGTTTTTTATTTGTGTAATATAAATTTATAATGATATGGTATATTTAAAAATATTATAAATTTAAATTTGAGTTTATTAAATTTATAATATTAAGTATATTTATTTATACATTTAGATATATATTTAGTTTTGTTTTTGATAATTTGATTAATAATATTGTATTTAATAATTAAATTATAATATTTAATTTATAAATTTAATAAAACAAAAAATAATATTAATTATTAAAACATAATTAATATATTTAAAACAGAATTTTTTTTTTATAAATAAAACAAGGTTGCGGCGTGTTTTTCATGTCACTAATTAGTGACGTGAAAAACACGTCGCTAAAGCTAACGTTACAAAAATTATAAGTCTGCTCTGACCCACTGCTCTGCTCTGCTCTGCTTTGAATTCTTTTACCCTATACAGTATGTTGCGGCGTGAATTTCACGTGGCAACTTAGTGACATGTTTTTCACGCCGCAACAAGATTGCCACGCGCTATATAGCGACGTTTTCTTTAAGGTGACAAAACTTGAGTAGTGACGTGTTTTGAGTGTTAGCGGCGTGGCTTTCACGTGACAAAACTCAACTTATTTTGTAGTGTGTATCCAATTTTCAAATTTTAAAAGAAATTAAAAAACAATATATTTTTCTCGTATTTGGATTCATACATTATTTTAAATACATTTATTTTTATTTTCTTTAATTGTACAAAAAAAATAGTAAACCATGCGTTTACACGAATTTTGGCCTGATTATCCATACGGACACACGGTACAAATGTGTTATCCGTGTGGTCAGATTTTGGTCTGATTATCCGTATGTTCATACGATACTGATGTGTTACCCATGCATTTAGATTTTGACATGGTTAGCCGTGTGTTCACACGGTACTGATGTATTATCCGTGCGTTCGCACGACTACTGGTGTGATGCACACTTGTTTTTAAAATGTAATAAAAAAAAAGATAAAATTATTTAATCAAATAAAATTATTATTATTTTAAAAAAATAATAAATTATTGAATATAATTTTTTTTTCATATAAAAATATGAGTAAATAATATATTTTTTTTTTTGCATATAACTATTATTTCCGTGTTTATAAAAAAAACTGAAATCAATAGTAAATTTGTTTCCGTTATTATCTATATAAATATAAAATTTCTTTATAAATAATTTATAATTTATAATTATAGTAACTTCTAAATAGTTGAATTAATACAATATTTATTATTTTAAATTAATTGAATCAACAATAAAAATGTTTTCATATATAAATTTTTTTATATTTTGGTAAATTTATCTTTTATAATTCAATTAAAATATTATGTTTAGTTTGAAATTATTATTGCTTTAAATAAAATATTTCTACTAACATCACATAATAGTTAGTTTGTAAATAAGATAGTTGTAGGACAATTTAACTTTAATTACTAGAAATATTTCTTAAATTGAAAAAATAACTATGTTTATATTATAAAAGTATCATGTGAACTTAATGAGATAGTAGCACATAATGGAGAAAGCTCATTCGTTGCACAAATCAACCAACTATCAACATTTAATCAAGTTTGAACTGTTTAAATAAATAATTGTAATTCAGTGTTATCTAATCAGGTGATAACTGGGGATGCAAAAAGTTGTGAATTGTAGTAAGCATGTTGTAAGTTGATCACAAGCATAATTGTCTTAAGCATGTTATAATTACCGTTGACTTGCAATAAGCATGCTATATAGTGAAGTTTAGCTCATATATTTACGCAAGTGTCCTTGCAGTTTAAGAGAAATGATTCAGAGTCGAATATAATTCTTCCAATCTTGCATCAGAGTTGAATATAAGTCTAGTTTTTGGAGATATGACAACTGCTGAGAGAGATTCTACAATGGCACGGAGTAGCTTTTCTGAGATTACTTCACCTCTTGCAAGTTCTTCATCATCTCTGAAAGTAATTATACTCTTGCACACCAAAGCTGCATATAGCTGATCGGTGAAGCCTAAGCACGTGTCTTCTCTCTTAAAACTCAAGAAAACATGATACTTACCTTTTGAGTTTTGTGAATAATTATCCATTGAAAGGCCTTAGGATTAAACTATAGAAATAGAAGAATATGTTGATTTAGATTGAAGCACCTGAAAATAAAATCAAGAACATTAAGGACAAGTTATTCAAAAAGTTATAGAAAGGATATAAATCCATTTGCATGTGCACATAATTTCTCCTTTCCATGTTACTGAGATTATTAAAGCTTTTTTTTAAAGAATTTATTTAAAATCACCCCCTTAATACTATCTCAATTATATTGGGCTTTTATCAAGAAGGGTCTTTGTGAATTTTTACTTCGGGATTACTGAGAGTTTGTTTGTTTACCTTGAGATGCAAAAATCATGACAATGCTTTTTATTGTGTGTTCGGTGTCTGGTGTCCTAAATCCTTATTGGAAATAAAGTCTGTTTATGTAATCTGTGTTGGAAATCCACCTAATACTATGATGAATTTCGACCACAATGATGATTAGTTATGAGAAAAACAAATAAAAGAAGACAAGATAAATATTTCTGCAGAGTTTCTCTCTGCCCACAAACTGTGGAAAACTTTCTTAATCACTTGCAACTGCAAATTCTGTGATTACAATGAATTGTCTTGCTTGACTTGACTTTCAAAGTAGGGGTTACTCCCTCTATTTATAACTGAGCTTACACCCTAAGCCTAAGGCCCAAAATATCTTTTTGTTACTAAACCAAATCTAATCAAATATATTCTAGACTTAAATCAAATCTTCTTTGACACATATGAATTACAATTTAACACACCACCTAATTCATTGTGTCTAAACTGTCTATGTTCATCATGGCCCTTAGCTTTCTGAATATTTCGACTAGCACTCCCTTTGTCATGATGTCTGCAATCTGATTCTCAGTTCTGCAGTGTTCCAAATTCATCTTCCCATCTGCTACCTGCTCTCGAAGATAATGAAACCTCATTTCGATGTGCTTACTTCGACCATGTGCTATTGGGTTCTTTGCCAGATTAATAGTTGACATGCTGTCTATCTTCATGGTAATTGCTCCATGATCTTTCTCTGTTATCTCTTCGACCAATTTCACCATCCAGGTTGCTTGACATGCACAAAGAGAAGCAACTATGTATTCTGCTTCGCATGATGATAATGCCACTACTGGTTCTTTTCTCGAATTCCAAGCAATTGGTGCACCACCTAGCATAAACACATATCCTGCTGTTGACTTTCGATCTTCAGCATCACTACACCAACTCGAATCAGTGTATCCCACTAACTTGCATTCTTTTCCTTTATCAACTGCAGGAAACAAAATGCCATAATGGAAAGTTCCTTTGAGATACCTTAGTATCCTCTTCACTACTGCTAGATGTTATACCTTTGACTTCTGCATAAATCTACTTACCATACCTACACTGTATGCTAAGTCAGGCCTTGTATGACAAAGATATCTTAATGATCCAATAAGTCTTCTGTATTGGGTTGGATCAACATCCTCTTCATATGCATCTTTCGACAGTTGCAGTCTTGGTTCTGCAGGTGTCGAAGTTGAGTTGCATTCTTCCATCTCAAACCTCTTGAGAATTTCTCCTGCATATATTCTTTGATGCATCATCAAACCTCTACTGCTCTTGTAGAATTCGATACCAAGAAAATATGAAATCTCACCCAAATCAGATATTTCGAATTCCTTGCTGAGATCACCTTTGAAGTCTTCGATCTCACTTTTACAGCTACCTGTTATCAACAAATCATCTACATAGAGACATAGTATAAGCAATTTACTCTTGCTTCTTCTTACATATACTCCATGTTCAGTTGTGCACTTCACAAATTCCTTCTCCCTTAGAAAACTATCAATTTTCTTATTCCAAGCCCTTGGAGCTTGTTTCAATCCATACATGACTTTATGTAACCTGTACACCTTTCTTTCTTCGTCATGTTTCACAAATCCAACTGGTTGTTTAACATAGACTTTTTCATTTAAGGGTCCATTTAGGAATGCACACTTCACGTCCATCTGACATATGTGCCAACTGTTTATTTCTGCTAGACCAACAACCAACCTGATTGTTTCGATCCTAGCAACAGGTGCAAAAACTTCGTCGAAGTCTATTCCTTCTTTTTGTAGAAATCCTTTCGCCACAAGTCTTGCTTTGTGTCGAGTTACTTCACCTTTCGAATTCGTTTTCACTTTGTATACCCACTTGACATCAATTGCCTTCTTGCCTTGAGGCAATTCGACAAGTGACCAAGTGTTGTTGTCTTCGATAGACTTTACTTCTTCGTTCATTGCTTTCACCCACTTCGAATCCTTTAATGCTTCAGCTGCATTAACAGGTTCGACATCTGCATAGAAAGCATAATGTACCAACTCGCCTTCATTATCTATTACATCATCTGATGTAATCACACAATCTTACAATCTTGCAGGCATGCGTCTTGTTCTTTGAGGTCTGCTTGTACTTGGTATATCTGCTGGTTCCTCTTGTCGAACTTCTCTTTCGACTTGAGTTTCTGGCTTTCGAATAGGATTCCCACTGAATCTTTCTTGACATTTGTAGTCCAATCCCATTCTTTAAACTCGTCTATGATCACGTCCCTGCTAATCACAATCTTCTTGTTCTCTGGATCGAACAACTTGTAGCCTCCTGTCGAATGATATCCAACTAGAACCATTTGACTTGACTTATCATCAAGTTTTCTTCTCAAGTGATCTGGAACATGTCTATGTGCAATAGATCCAAATACCTTCAGATGACTCAAGCTAGATTTCACACCAGACCAACATTCTTCTAGAGTAATTCCTTCTAGCTTCTTTGTAGGACATCTGTTCAAAATGTATGTTGCAGTCGAAACAGCTTCACCCCAAAACTCTTTAGGTAAACTCTTGCCTTTCAACATACTTCTCACCATATTCACGATGGTTCGATTTTTCCTTTCTGCAATTCCATTTTGCTGTGGAGTATAGGGTGGCACCACCTCATGCACAATCCCTTCCTTTTCACATAATCTGTCGAAGTCTTTCGACACATATTCTCCTCCACCATCAATTCTCAAAACTTTGAGCTTTCGACCACTTTGTCTTTCGACCATAGACTTAAACCTGGTAAATACTTCGATCACTTCACTTTTCTTCTTGATCAGGTAAGTCCATAACTTTCGATTGAAATCATCTATGAATGTAACAAAGTATTTGTTACCTCCCATCGAATCCACCTGGATTGGTCCACATACATCAGAGTATATGACTTCAAGACTAGCCTTCGATCTGCTTCCTGCATCCTTGCTAAAGCTATTCTTGTGTTGCTTCGCCTGCACAAATTCTTCACATACTTCGTTTGGAATGTCAATTTCAGGCAATCCTGAAACCATATTTCTTCTCTTCAAATATCTGATGTCTCTGAAGTTGAGATGATCTAGTCTATAATGCCATATCCATTCATCTCTACTAGCTGCAGTCGAAAGGCACTTGTGCTCTATCACATTTAGTTCAATCTTGAAGGTTCGATTCTGAGACATAGGAGCCTTCAAGATTAATCTCCCATTTGCATCAACGACTCTCATCAACTTATCTTCGATTGACACTTTATAATTCTTTTCGGCCAACTGCCCTATACTGAGCAAATTGCTCTTCATGCCTGGTATGTATAATACATTTAAAATTACTAACTTCTTGCCATCTTTCCTCATGATCATAACATCACCAATACCTTCAGCTGCTAGGGTATTGTCATTTGCAAATTTTACCATATTTTTCGTTGAGGGTTTTATATTGACGAACCAGTCTTTCCTTCCAGACATATGTGATGAACATCCTGAATCCAAGTACCATTGGTCCTTGAATCTATCTTCATCTTTTGTTGTGACCATCAGCATCATCTCTTCTTCTTCTTCTTCATGTTTTGCAAGCTTTGCATCACTTTCTTGATTCTTTCGTTTTTCTGGACAATCACTCGAATAATGTCCATATTTTTGACAATTGTAACATTGAATGTGACTCTTATTAGGTTTTTGACCACCACCTCTTCCTCTATTTGCAACACCACCTCTTTGGTTGCCTTGGTATGGTCTTCTTTGATTTGACACGTCTCTTTCGATTTGGTTTCCTCTACCATTCGATTTGTTGTAGCCACCTCTACCTCTATCGAAACACTTTCCTTTGCCTTTGGTCTCTTTTGCTGAATGTGCCTGCAAGGCCACATCACTCTTCGATTTTCCTGCAGCTCTTTCGTTCATTCTTTGTTCATGAGATTCGAGCGTCCCTTGAAGCTCTTCCTTTGTCAATTTCGACAAGTCTTTTCCTTCTTCTATCGCCACCACTATGTGGTCGAACTTAGGAGCTAAAGATCTCAAGATCTTCGACACAACAGCTCTTGTTGTTAACGCTTCTCCACATATCTTGATTTGATTTACTAGTTTTGTAACTCTAGTGAAGAAATCAGATATGTTTTCACTGTCTTCCATCTGAAGCAGTTCATAGGTCCTTTTGTGAGTTTGTAACCTCACTTCTTTCACCTTCTCAGCGCCTCCAAAAGACTTCTCAAGGATCTCCCAAGCTTCTTTTGTAGATTCTGAATCACTAATCTTTTCGAAATTGTCAGGGCTGACACATTGATGAATTATAAATAATGCTTTATAACTCAGCTTCTCAGATTCTGTGTATTTCTTCTTTTCTTCTTCTGAAGTGTTTTCGCCAAGCGCTTCGACTCCATCTTTTACAAGGTCCCAAAGACCTTGACACCTTAATAGGACTTTCATCTGTTTGCACCAATTCTCATAGTTGTCAACTTTCAGAATTGGTAGCGTTGCTGGATAGTTTGCATTCCCATAACTTGTCATCGTGAATTCTTCAATCGTTCTTGATTGACACTTCCCTTGAATCGAAACAAAAGCTCTTGATACCAGATGTTGGAAATCCACCAAATTCTATGATGAATTTCTACCACAATGACAATTTAATTATGAGACAAACAAAGAAAAGAAGACAAGATAAATATTTCTACAGAGTTTCTCTCTGCCCACAAACTGTGGAAAACTTTCTTAATCACT